TTAGGACAAAAAAAATATATTTCACGTGAAGTATTTTTGAAGTAGGTCTAAAAAAGCCCAGAATATTTAAAGTCATAGGCTTACGTTTCCAAATTAGAAAATGACGTCAACTGAGGCAGCGCTGGTGTTGAACCAGTGGATCCGTGTGTGGACCACGTAAAAAGAATGACTCCGATGCAGTTACATTAGAATCCGGTTATCCGTGCGTGGACCACGGCTGATGCCTGTCACTGACTTACATTGGTATCACTTCTGTGAGCCCATCACGGAATTTTCGGCGATTCCGTGATGCCACCACGGATTCGGATGTCATGGTCCGTGGTCATTACACGGAATTCTGTGAGATCAGGTTGTTACACCAAATACACAAAATAATGTTCTTTTTAGCAACATCATATGACCCCTTTAAGTACGTCAACAAAAAACATTAGTATGACCTTTTCACGACGTGAAATTAAAAAAACGTTTTACATCGTAGTTGTGTTTGCTGGGTTAGTTATGTGTTAAATTAACAAACAGCTGGGAAGGAAATCAGATGCGTGCATTTCGTCTTAAAGAGACAGCAGTCATTAATGTTAATCAAACAACAAAATACAGAGAAAATCACTCACTGCTCTTGACTGAATCACTTTATAACTTTAATAAGAATTAATGTATATTTGATTCATACAGTGTAGTGTTCTAAAGTTTAATTAAATTTTTAAAGACCCTTTTGACAAATCATTGTTTAACACAATACTGTGCAAATAGAGAAATAGGCTTGTTCCACTTCCCCTCATAGTGTTACTATGGCATACATTCAAAGAAAAGTACAGGCATTTAATTAAGTACAGCAGTTGGCAAAAGTTTTGAGAATGACACAAATATTAATTTTCACAAAGTCTGCTGCTTCAGTGTTTTTAGATCTTTTTGTCAGATGTTACTATGGTATACTGCAATATAATTACAAGCATTTCATAAGTGTCAAAGGCTTTTATTGACAATAACATTAAGTTTATGCAAAGACTGAATACTTGCAGTGTTGTCCTTTCTTTTTCAAGACCTCTGCAGCTTGCCCTGGCATGCTGTCAATCTGCTTCTGGGCCACATCCTGACTGATGGCAGCCCATTCTTGCATAATCAATGCTTGGAGTTTGTCAGAATTTGTGGGTTTTTGTTTGTCCACCCGCCACTTAAGGTTTGACCAGAAGTTCTCAATGGGATTAAGGCCTGGGGACTTTCCTGGCCATGGACCAAAAATGTTGATGTTTTGTTCCCCAAGCCACTTAGTTATCACTTTTGCCTTATAGCAAGGTGCTCCAGCATGCTGGAAAATGCATTGTTTGTCACCAAACTGTTCTTGTATGGTTGGGAGAAGTTGCTCTCAGTCATGAATAAAGAATGGAGCAAAAACATACACCGTGTTCTTAGGCAAAATTGTGAGCCCACTCCCTTGGCTGAGAAGCAACCCCACACATGAATGGTCTCAGGATGCTTTACTGTTGGCATGACACAGAACTGATGGTAGCGCTCACCTTTTCTTCTCTGGACAAACTTTTTTCCGGATGCCCCAAACAATCGGAAAGGGGATTCATCAGAGAAAATGACTTTACCCCAGTCCTCAGCAGTTCAAACCCTGTACCTTTTGCATAATATCAGTCTGTCCCTGATGTTTTTCTTGGAGAGAAGTGGCTTCTTTGCTGCCCTTCTTTACACAAGGCCATCCTCCAAAAGTCTTCGCCTCACTGTGCGTGCAGATGCATTCACACCTGCCTGCTGCCATTCCTGAGCAAGCTCTGCACTGGTGGTGCCCCGATACCGCAGCTGAATCAACTTCAGGAGACGGTCCTGGTGCTTGCTGGACTTTCTTGGGTGGCCTGAAGCCTTCTTCACAACAAGTGAACTTCTCTCCTTGAAGTTTTTGATGATTCGATAAATGGTTGTGTAACAAAGTTCGTAGATCGGGAAGAAGGAGGTGTGAACCGGCGAACATTTAAAGACTTCAATAATAAAATAAACAAACACAAAACTGAAAATAGCACGACAGCCCCTCACAGACGACTGCCATGCACAAACAGAACCAAAACCACATAAATAGTCCAGGCCTGGTCCTCTCTCATCCTTCACTGTCGTTACTCCTCCTTTTATCCTTCCGGAGCTCCTCCATGGGACTCGAGACCGGTGAGTGGCGCAGGTTTAGCTCATCATCATTTACTCCACCGGCCTCGCTCCGTTCCCACGGCCCCACCCCACTCGTCACATAATGATAATAGCCACGAGACTGCACTCTACTCCCCACCCCCGGGGGCCCCGTCAGTAAAATAAACAAACACAAAACTGAAAATAGCACGACAGCCCCTCACAGACGACTGCCATGCACAAACAGAACCAAAACCACATAAATAGTCCAGGCCTGGTCCTCTCTCATCCTTCACTGTCGTTACTCCTCCTTTTATCCTTCCGGAGCTCCTCCGTGGGACTCGAGACCGGTGAGTGGCGCAGGTTTCGCTCATCATCATTTACTCCACCGGCCTCGCTCCGTTCCCACGGCCCCACCCCACTCGTCACATAATGATAATAGCCACGAGACTGCACTCTACTCCCCACCCCCGGGGGCCCCGTCAGGGCGGCCCCAGCACCTGGGGGTAAGGACAGACGAGGCGAGAGAAAAGGAGATGGAAGGATGAGGAGAGACAGAGACGAGAGAGGAGAGAGAGGAAAAGAAAAGAAAAAAATTCTCGGTCCAGTTCCCAGACAAACTGCCGCTTGGTCCTCAACCAGCTGAGAGGCTCTCACTATCGGTGCCATGCGATGGTACTGGACATCTTTGGTGGACGGCCCGACGCTCCTCTGCCTCCTGGCGGATGGCGATGGCTCCTCCGGTCGAGGGCAGCCGGCAGCGAGTCGCCCGTTCCCAGCTCCTCCCCAATCATGGCAGACGGCAGCAGGCTCTTGGCGAACGGCGCCGACTCCTCCACTCCCTCTTGGACAGCAGCCACCCCTCCTCGACCCAGGAGTGTGGCAGCGAGCTCTGCGTCCCACCTCGTCTTCCATCGCTCCAGCACCACCTCCTCGGGCAGCCCCCGGCGGTCTCCACATTTTCATGCTGCTCGACCTCCTCAGCACCGCGATCCCCCTCAGCAGCAAGGGCTCTCTGACAGCCTGTTCCTCCTTCCTCCCAGGTTTCGGCACCAATGTAACAATGTTCGTAGATCGAGAAGAAGGAGGCGGGAACCGGCGAACATTTAAAGACTTTAATAATAAAATAAACCCAAAACTGAAAATAGTGCGACAGCCCCTCACAGGCGACTGCCGCACACAAACAGAACCAAAACAACATAAATAGTCCAGGCCTGGTCCTCTCTCATCCTTCACTGTCGTTACTCCTCCTTTCATCTGTCCGGAGCTCCTCCGTGGGACACGAGACCAGTGGCGCAGGTGGCGCTCATTATCATTAACTCCACCAGCCTCGCTCCGTTCCCACGGCTCTGGGACCCGGCCCACTCATCACAAGTTGATTTAGGTGCAATCTTACTAGCAGCAATATCCTTGCCTGTGAATCCCTTTTTGTGCAAAGCAATGATGACTGCATGTGTTTCCTTGCAGGTAACCATGGTAAACAGAGGAAGAACAATGATTTCAAGCACCACCCTCCTTTTAAAGCTTCCAGACTGTTATTCAAACTCAATCAGCATGACAGAGTGATCTCTAGCCTTGTCCTTGTCAACACTCTCACCTGTGTTAAAGGCAGAGTGAGGGATTTCTGGTAGCCAATGTTGATATTTGAAATCACCAAAACAAACACGCCCCTACCCCAAAAGGGTCTTGCCCCTATTTTGATAGCTCTGCCCCACATATACGTATGCAACCCAGGCAACGATTAGTTCTGTGAAACAAAGCAAAACCAATGTTTCATCTTGTCTACGGATGTGAGCGGCGCAACGCAAAGAACCCGGCAGCAGTTTTCTGTCGGGGATTTGATTTATGACGTGCTGACACAAATCTCGAATGGTTTTCAACGGTGGTTTGATCGCGTCCAGTGTAGGCAGACTTTAGCTGTTGTAGACACGGTGTTACTCACCTATTGAGAAGAAACAAAGCAACCTCGGCGTCCGATCGCAGGCCTCCGCTCCTTGAGTTCTCTCCAGCTCTGGAAAACTGAGCCGATATTTACACGGGTCCTACTTCTTGCCTTACTGTTCCGCAGACGTTTTCCGCTTTTGTTTTTTATCCGCCATCTCTATCTTTCTGTCGCTCGGCTCGGCTAATGTCCGTCCCATGCACTGAATAAAATTTTTTTTTGGGGGGGGGGGATTAAATTCATTTTCATGGCAAAGAAGAACTTTGCAATTAATTGCAATTCATCTGATCACTCTTCATAACATTCTGGAGTATATGCAAATTGCCATCATAAAAACTGAAGCAGCAGATTTTGTGAAAATTTATATTTGTTATTCTCAAAACTTTTGGCTACGGCTGTATATATTGCAATATTCATATGCCTGTAAGTAATCTGACAAACTGAACTATATTAGACGTTTGTAGACATCAAACTCAAACACCCACAGAAGGCGCTAAAATAAAAACATGAAATTATCATGTTTTATGAGCGAAAACATATCCTAAACATCAGCCTAATATATCAACAATCAAATTTAAATTTTACACATTTGTTACATCTAATGTACAGTTCAGTGTGCTGTTGAGGGGAAATCAAGAAATAGGAGACAATACTGGCTGTAGAAGAGTTTATTTGAGCTGATGTTCTGTTATCATATTTGTGTTCAAAAGATTTGATTAGTGCGAAACATACAGAGTCATAACCACACCAGATATACAAAGAGTTTCTTAAAAGACACATATATCATTATACAGAAATAAAACAGACTTCTGGCCACTTTTAAAACTCAATAAGTAGATTCACTCACAACTTACTGATGAACAAATCAAACATGAAAGTGAATCAGAAAAGTGATGAAGTAGCCTATGAAAACGGTTGATGTACGTAAACACATTAGCGTTTAATTTCTGCTGCAGATGAAGTTGAGTTTGTGAGATTCAGGAAGGCTGATCCAGCGCTGATCTCCTCCAGACTGAACTGCTCCTTTTCTGTTCTCGAGGCTGCAGTTTTCCGGTGTCGTCCCGTTCCCTGGAGCCCAGTTCTGATAGCACACCATCTCCCCACTCACCCAGAGCCACATGTTCATGATGCAGTAGTTGTGTAAACCCAACCACACCGCCGCAGTAGACGCCCGTTTAACCACGTTCATCACACGACGCTGAATCTCTTCTGAATGAACCGAGACCAGATCCACATGATTCTGTCTGCAGTATCTTAGAGCTTCAGACCACGTCAGATTCTCTCTGATCACAATCAGTTTATCTGGAAACCAAACAAAGCACAAGCAGAAGCTAGAGAGAGACTGATCAAAAACAACATGCAGAAGAAGCACTGTGGATGAATTTGTCATGTCGGACATTCAGCGTGAACTTTAGGAGATCTGGAGGTGATGATGGATTGTGTGTGTTTTGTGAGGATCTACTCACCTTCATGACACACTAAAGGAAACTTATTGGTGCAAGAAATGTCATTCCATCGTCCCGGAGTCGTTTCAATCATTGTACAGTCTTCATTACCTCCAACATGATTAGGTTCACCAGACTTCCAGTATCTGAATGAGGAGTTACTCTGATCTGACCACTGCCATGAGTCTCTGACTCTGAACAGACCGATCCAGACATATGATCCAGATGCATGATTATCACTAATGATCTTCTGAACCTGTTGACTCTCATTCTGGTTTCTCACACGGACCAGATCAATGTGATTCTGTCTGCAGTAACTCTGAGCGTCTCTCCAACTCTTCAGCTGATTGACAAAGACGAGTCCTGTGTTCGCTTTAAGAAAAACAAATGAGAAAAAGA